GGGCAAGCCGTGCGGGAGCAGCTAGGCGGCCACGCTCTGAGCGGCGACGTCCGGGCCTCAGGGTCTCTCTCCCGACCGGACCGCCGATCGGACCGCCGTTACGGCTGATGCTGAGGGCCCGTGGCCATCCCGCGCCGAGGGGACCTGGCTGGGCCGCAGATCTGGGCTGGGGGCTGGAGTCCGAGCCCGAGCCTGTGCTCACAACGTGCATCAGAAGTTAAGGTAAGCAGGGCCACAACCGGCCGCTCCCAGTGCTGAATGGCGGAGTTTATGTCTCGGTGATTTATGGCTGCAGACTTAAATCTCGGTTCAAGAAGAGTTCACAAGCCGGAGCTTCCTTCCCGGCAGTGACTGATACCCTTACACTTCGAGTTCAGGTCGCTTTCCCATCCCCGCCCCCACCTCTTCCCTCTCCCTTTGCCCAGCGTCAACTTTTCTAGGGTGGGGAGATAGGGAAGGATGGGCAGGGGGACCCGGGGGTCTTACTCTAGGTTCCTCCTTGGACTCTGGGTGCCGGCAAACTGCGGAAGGGGAGGAAATGGAAAGAGGGAGCAGTGTCTGAAGGAAGGAGGTTGAATTTGGGGAGATCTTCGAGAGAGACAATAGGACTTGTTTCCTGCACTCACTTTGTCTAAACACTCCTTTGGCTCTGGTATCTGGGGCTTATTGTCCAGAAACAGATCTTTGTAGAGAAATCCTTCCCAAGACCTTGTTTGGGGTGTACAAAACAAAGTTTCTTAGCTGGCAAATCTCCAACTTCTTTACTAGGTCACAAACTTTGGGGGGTGATATGGGGAGGTAGTGTGTGCCCAAAGGTAATTGTCTGCTGACCTCAAACAATAGGAAGGACTTTGGTGGGCTATCAGAGGTGAATTCATATTTTTAAGTTTATGGAAAATGTTACTTACTCTGATTTTTAAACATGTTTTTTGTCATTTACAAAACAATGCAAAGTTCATTTTAAAAAGGCTTCAGTTAAATAAGTAGCAGGCCGTGTAGCTTCTGAAAATGGATTAGCAAGTCACTTGAAATACTGCACATTCAAAAGCAACTTAATTTCGTTTTGTCTAATGTCTTGCTGTTCAAGTGTCTGAAGTAATTTTCTTAACCTGGTGTTTTATTTTACACAAATCTGGTATCTAAAAAATGTGTAATGGCAGACATTAACACTGCCAAATGTAACAGGCACTGTTTTCAGCCAAAGAATAGGAAATAGAGATATTGCTACTGCTTTAAATTTTATTTTATCCTTTATTTGCTTTCAGTCATATTATCTGTAGCTCTCAGATTTCCAAAAGAGAAGAAGTATTCCAGGAATCAAGGAAATGCACAGTAACTCTGGATAAGGGCTTTTGTACATTTTAATTGAGGTTCTGGAAAACTGATTGTGCTTGTTTTCCAGATATTGGTCAGATTGTTGGTTTAATAATGAACTCCAATTATTAAAATCAAAATGATACTCATCCATTGTGTATTACATTATGTTTTTTTCTAGTTTAAGAATTTACTATGTCAGGAAAACCTGAATCACTCCAGAATTCAAATCCCTATAGTTGGGTCATGAAGTGTAAATTGTTTTCTTCTTTAATCTTTTATTATATGACCAGGAGGACTAACATTTTGAAAGAGGGAGAGAGTGTGTTAGAGAGACTATATGGAATCCACAAGGAACTTTTCTGAGCTGAGAAGTAGATGTTGACCAAGCTAAGGTTGGAAATAAAAAGAAAATATATTTCACATCTGCAGACTTTGTAAATAAAAGAGGCTTGAGAAGGCTTGCAATTGTTTAATTTTTTTTTTTTTTTAGATATTCAGAGTTACCCTTTCCTTGCTGTTTTTGAAGCAGGTAAATCGGCCAAGTTAACAAATATCAACCACAGCACACAAAGATCAGGGAACTGTGGCAGGATTTTATGGCTTGTGCTTCCATCCCTTGTCCGGAGCCAAATGACCCCCATACATCAAATTACATAGCAGTCTCTAAGACAGAACCTATTATCGTTAAGTTGGAAGAAGAGTTCAAGCCGTGGTCATGGAGATGAACGCTGGTTTTTCAGGTTCCTGGTGGGTTGTTTTTTTTTCTCTAATCCATCATGTTTTAACAGGTAGAATTTGATAGTTGTTCTGAATAACAGCACCTCAGAAAGTCCAAGGCAGGAGGGACCTCTGTAACTAGGGAAAAGAGGTGTGGTGGTTGCTTTCTGGAACCTGGGACGTGCTTGATAAACCGTGATAGAAAAGAGTAATGAACTGTCCTCAGTTTGAGTTGTGATTTGCTGGTGGTGTGGTTTTGTTGTTGATTATACCCCCTCCCCCCAGGATATTCCATCCAAAGTCTTCTCTTCCTCCTACTTGGCCACAAGGGGCTCCTTTGGAGGAGGTGGGTTATATCTTCTCACAAGCGTAGATTAAATGTCTAACAAGCTGGGTTTCTGAAATCCAGCAGGGTCAGGTAGGGCCACTGGACGGAAAGGTATTGTGCAGGGCTCTCTGGGGAGGGAGCCGGAAGGTCCAAGAAGGGCCTGGGTGGGAAAATCACTCTCCTCAGGACTGTTGTGGCAAATTATAAAGACCTAAAGTAGGGATTGGAGAAAACACTGGCGATCCAGACACTCCATTTGCCTCGCTCGAGGACCCATCTTCCAAGATCCCTAAATGGAAAGGAGTTAGCGAAGATGAAGGAACACCTCAAATTCCTTCTCTCTGGAAAAGAAAGATCCCAATTTTGTTCCAGTCTGTCGGACCTTTCTCCTTTGGGACCCCTGATCCCATTCCCGACTTCCAACCCTCACTCGCTCTCCTCTGTACCCGGAAAACCCCCCAACTCCAGACGCAAGTTAAGCAAATATTTGTAGCTGCCAGTAAATTCCAGCGGCTTTTTATAGCGCGGCTCCCTGCGCCCGGGGCCAAGTCGTGCTGCTAAATATTGCTGACCACTTTTTCTTTTATGGCTTTCATGTCACTTAGCTATAGAGAGTAAGATGGATTTGCGCCGAGCCCTCACCGCGCTGCGCTTCTCGCCCCCCTAGGTCTGCGCGGGGCGGCTATTGGCGGCGGAGCGTCACGTGACCGCGGGGGCGTGCCAATGTGCGCCCTCACGGGTGTCAAGCCCCTGTCAGTGTGTGCGATCAGGATCGTGAAACAACGCGATGCAAAAAGCGACCTACTACGACAGCTCGGCGATCTATGGTGGCTACCCCTACCAGGCAGCCAACGGGTTCGCTTATAATGCCAGCCAGCCGCCGTACCCAGCTTCCGCGGCTCTGGGCGCCGACGGCGAGTACCACCGACCCGCCTGCTCACTCCAGTCGCCCGCCAGCGCAGGGGGCCACCCCAAGGCGCACGAACTGAGCGAAGCATGTCTGCGCTCCCTGAGCGGCCCGCCCAACCAGCCCCCTGGACTGGGCGAGCCGCCCCTGCCCCCGCCACCGCCCCAAGCCGCGCCCCCTGCCCCACAGCCGCCGCAGCCCCCGCCGCAACCCCCAGCGCCCGTTCCTGCGGCTCCCCAGCCCCCCTCTTCGGTCTCCCCACCTCAGAATGGCAACAGCAACCCTGCCCCCGCCAGCGCGGCCAAGAGTCCCCTGCTCAACTCTCCCACTGTGGGTAAACAAATCTTCCCTTGGATGAAAGAGTCACGGCAAAACACAAAGCAGAAAACCAGCGGCTCCAGCTCAGGTAAAGGGATGCCTTCTGGAAGAGGGTCCCCTGGCCTGGCTCCAAGCCTCCCAAACCACCCCCAGCCACAGCCAGCAAGGTCTGGGAGTGCTGGTGCATTTCTGGGACTTTACTGCTCCTAGTCCTGAAGTTTTCCAGAGTATTTGCCACTAGGGAGGTCTCATGGCCTGTGGGCCAGGAAACCCCAGAGAAGGACCTGATGGGGGTGTATGTATCTCTGGACCTTTTCAAGGGCAGTGGGGCCTAGTGAAGTTGGGACATCATCTTATTTCACTCTTGGGAGTTAGACCTTTTGGCAGAGCCAATCTGCACTTCACTGCCTTTTTTTAAAAATAGCACATCGCCTCCATTTTAATAAGACAGTGATACCCTCTCCATACAGCAGTGTGGCAGAATTAAAGAAGAACGAATCACTCTCCAAGTCAGAACCAATGTTTTGCCTATAAGCTGAGCTTATTTTTGCTCCAGCAGATGGAGTGTCTGCCTTACCTCTGGGTAGGCCCTGCTCAGACTTAGTCTGAAGGCAGCCTGGGATCTCCTGGGGGAGGGGATGCTGGCTTGTCATCCTAATGGGAACCACATGCTAGTCCTGGAGCCAAACTCCAGAAAGGCTCTGTGTGTCAAGCTTCCCAGAATCTCAGTTACCTTCACCCCATGCCTTCTCTTGTTGCCAGTGCTCTGAGCCTGTGCATGTAGATGTCCCCCACCCCCAGCCAGGATTTAGGAGACCCAGAGGAGAGAAGGGTCCAAGACTAGTGTGCAAACCTGGGCCAGGCAGCTTGATGACATGGGAACCTAAATAAGGTCCAATGCCTGATGGATTCCTTCAATGGGCATTCTTCCTTTGGACAGAGAAGGTCCTCCAGGTTGAGATTTCCACTTTGCCCATTTCCTCTGGCTAGGTACAAAGAAGTGGCTAGTTGTGAGGCAATTGTCCAATTATTGAATCAGAAGTGAGAGAGGGAAAACTTTATTGGGCTGTATAAGCTCCACATTCCAGTTACTGTGAAGGGAGTGAAGATGATGAGATTTAACCCACAGGGAGCTTATAGTCAGACCCAAAGGCCATCACATCAGTAGACAGAAAGTGTTAGCTCCAGGAAGGGAACACAGCAGGAGCGCACCTTGGGGTTCTGCTTTTTCTGTCTCCTTACCCAAGGAGAACACTGTGGTTAGCTCCTTTAGTGAGGGATAGCTGTTCCCAGTAACATCACTGATCCGTGGAGAGATCTGTGGGACCTGGAGGAAGGAAGGCTGAGCCTGGTCAGGGGTTGGGCTGGGCTGTAGACAGCCCCTGACTCCCTTTCCTCTCTCCTGTGTTCTCCAGGCGAGAGTTGCGCTGGTGACAAGAGCCCTCCAGGCCAGGCATCGTCCAAGCGGGCCCGTACGGCCTACACAAGCGCGCAGCTAGTGGAACTAGAGAAGGAGTTTCATTTCAACCGTTACCTGTGCCGGCCTCGCCGCGTGGAAATGGCCAACCTGCTGAACCTCACTGAGCGCCAGATCAAGATCTGGTTCCAGAACCGACGCATGAAATACAAGAAGGATCAGAAGGGCAAGGGCATGTTGACATCGTCTGGGGGCCAGTCCCCTAGTCGCAGCCCCGTGCCCCCTGGCGCTGGTGGCTATCTGAACTCTATGCATTCGCTGGTGAACAGCGTCCCATATGAGCCTCAGTCGCCCCCATCCTTTTCCAAGCCTCCCCAGGGCGCCTATGGGCTGCCCCCCTCCTCCTACCCTGCACCCCTGCCCAGCTGCGCTCCTCCTCCGCCCCCACAAAAGCGCTATACAGGGGCAGGGGCAGGTGGCACCCCTGACTACGACCCGCACGCGCATAGCCTGCAGGGCAACGGCAGCTATGGGACCCCACACTTACAGGGAAGCCCCGTCTTCGTGGGGGGCAGCTATGTGGAACCCATGAGCAACTCCGGCCCGGCCCTCTTTGGCCTGACTCACCTCCCCCACACCGCCTCAGCTGCCATGGACTACGGGGGCGCAGGGCCGCTAAGTAGCGGCCACCACCACGGGCCAGGGCCAGGGGAGCCGCACCCTACCTACACGGACCTTACCGCCCACCATCCTTCTCAGGGAAGAATTCAGGAAGCGCCCAAGCTCACCCACCTGTGATGGTGGGCTAGGGGCTGAGCGCCAGGAGAGTCCCCCACCTTTCTTCTTTGGTTGCTTTTTTTTTTTTTTTAAAGTTCCTCCTGCCCCTCCCTTTCTCTTCGCCTCCGCCCTTCTTTCTACTCACCCGCCCCCGTTTTGTTTTCTTTGGTAACGCGTTTTTATAGTTTTTGTGACGTAGCAATCTTGGTTGCTGGAATGGCTGTCAGCATCAGTAGCGATATTTATCTCCTCCCGCCCCTCGCTAGGCCGCTGGCCCTGCACCCTTTACCTTCTCCACTCTTTGATCAGAAACAGGGTATATGAACAAATTTGTAGCCGAGTTCTTCAATGTGAATTTGTTCGTACGTTATGGCTCCCGAGGGGAAGCAATTACGTTTAATTTTAATTTTTAGATTTTTTTTAATTGCACTTCTTCTAAAGAGCGAGAAAAAAAAAAAAATCAAAGGCGCTTTGAAGCAGGGGCTCCCTGTGCAAGGATGAGTAAGTGTACGTCTTTCCGTGTGTGTATGCTGGTGAACAGTCAGATTTATTTATATTTTTTTTGCAAGCATTGAATAATCTAAGTTTTAAATATTATTTATCCCCATCCGTTCGTATTTATATTAAAGAAATTCTGTACCCTGATTGTTCAGAAGGTTTCTTGGGCCTTTTGTTCAATGGTGTATTGGCGTACATAGAAAAAAAAAATTATTTGAAAGGGAAATATAGTTCCTTTATAAAAACGGTAGTGATGCAATAAAACCCGAGAGGATCCAGCTTTTGAAAACAGTGATTTAGGTTTGCAACATCTGGCGAAACTGAAAAAACAATCTGTAAACGTGAAAAAATGATAGATTTGTTTTGAGAGTTTTACATTCCTTGCTGCTCACATTCTGAGAAACGAAACAAAAAAAATAAAATAAAGTTTTTATTCTGAATAATATCTGTGTTCCGAAGGGGTTCTTTGGCCGAAGATAGGGGTCCGCGTGGAATTCAGGAGGAGGCAAGCAGGCCACAGCACCCGAGCGGGCTCCAACAGGGGTCTGGCTAGGCGCCGGCCCCGAGCACCGAGAGTTCTCGGGAAAGACTGCCTAAGTGACTGTCGGCCGCAGCCCTGGAAATGGCGTGCGGCTGGACCTGCTGGGATGTCTGGTTCCCAGCTGCCGCCAAGCCAGCCGAGGGCGTAGGGACTGCGGAGCGCTGTGTGCGGGAGAAACAAAGACATCCTGCCGGTGGCCCGGCGGGGGATGCACAGGTGCCCCAGCGACCCCACCGGGAGAGATGGCAGGCTCATCCTCTCCTCCACGTTCTTCCTCTGGTCAGAGCTGACCTGCCCACGCTTTCATCCGGGGAATATCCAGCCGTGCGAGAGATGCCCAGTACTTTCCAAGAGCAATCGGTCTCCTTAGAGTCCTCCTACAGGTCCATTACCACCTCAGGAGGAAAGAATCGCTCTAAAATTCACCACTGGAAGAAAGGCAGTTTGGAAGGGACTGGGGCTCTTTCGAGTCGCCAACACAAAGGGGGGCTAAACTCAGCGCAGCCCTTCCCTGGTCTGCCAGAATCTCAACATCGGTTTCCTCCCAGAATTTAGTATTTGGCACCTACTGGCTTTATTTTTTCTCCTTCCCTCCCCACTTCCCTTTTATAAACCCACAGAGAGAAGGAGAGGGACAGGAGATGGGCATCTTTCTAATAAAAATGCAATTTTATAAGTATTTTTTTCATTTGATGCTGCAGGAGCTAAAAATTGCATCTCCACTCCTGGATTTAAGATAGGGTCGCCTACAGACTGACCGGCAGAGGTAAAAGCAGAAACAGTAGAAGGAAAAATTTTCATCTTCAGATTAAGGAAGATAAAAGCACCAGTGATCGGCAGAAGCGCCAAATTCAGAAAATGCAAACCTCAGACCTGCATCCCTATCATCAGCCCCCTCAGAACTGGAAACAAGGAGCCGCTTGCGTCTGGGAATCAGGAGCATCTGATGTGAGAACCCTCCCCCCCCCCTCCCTGGATTGTATCTTTCAGAGACAGAGGTGAAAAATGTCGCCATTTTGTTTGCAATCCAAAATATCCATCATCATGGCCTCTATCTCCCCCTGAAAAACTCCCTTAGATGATGCTTAGAAACAGGCACTGAAACACTTCTGGGTACTTGCTGGGTCTGCAAGAGCTGCTTTAAGGGTGCCCTCTCACATTTTAGGGAAATGAAGAGACAAGCCAGGAATCTGTAGAGAGCTGGGTGTTTTCCCTCACACACTCAGAGATGCTTCCCCACATCTGTCCTGGGGCATATACACACACATACTTTTTCTCAAGATTTTGGACTGTGGAATAGATGGGCTTCCTTCCCCTACCCCCAACCCCTCCCTTAAAATATGGCGCACCTCACAAATGCAGAGGCTAGGAAACAGTCTTTGTGAGACCAGGAACTTCTGCCTTTTTGGTTGTTCATCCTGAACAGACATAGGAGTCTTCTTTTAAGCAATTGTTTTAGAAATGTGTGTAAAATTACCTGGGAAAATAAGGAATAGTGTCTCTGGAGAGACAGAGATTGAGATCCATCCATTCTGGGAGAGGAATCTTTTGGAAATACCACTATTTGAACCAATGTCTAAAAACTCACCGTTTAGCTGAGGGAGGTATGGTTTGAGGGTTTCCTCCTGCCCTCATTTTAAAATCAGGATACGATTTTGAAATGAGACTGTAATATGATTTCCTATATCTCATCAGTCAAGTCATTAATTTTGACTTTCAAAGAAAAAATATGGATCTCACCCCCAGCTTCCTAGATATTAAAAATAAATCCTTATTAAAACATCTCCTGAATTAAAGTGATGGGTTGAGGAAGTTTTCAGTGTTGATTGGTCAGAGAAAAAGATTTTCTTCCAGATGGCATTTGAATTAAGGCCACTGAGTTGGGCAGAAAGCTCTCACCCACGCAGCTCCTGACAAAGCTGGAGCAATGCGGGGGCAGTTGCTCCTCTCCATAGCATTCCCTCCCTTTACCCCTAGATACCTTCTGGTAAAAGCAAATGCCAACAACCTCCATCCCACAGTCCACAAAGCACCTTTCCTAAAAGCACCCTTCTAACCATTCCTTCTGCCAAAAATTATCTTTAAAAAGACCAGTTTTCCTTGTTTACTTGCGTTTCCTGCTTGCCTCTTTGCTCGGCCACATTTGATCTTGGAAAGAGCTCGAAGCTGAAATGTGTTCTTAAGGGCCAGAAGCTGTCAAGGCTTTTGGTGAGCAAGATTGATCACACCCAGACTTCCTTCAGAGCTTTGTTTGGAATAAAAGCAAGAAAACTGAAAAAAAACTCACATTTTCCAAAATAGCATCTCTATCTGTAAGACATGCTCTAGGCTAGTAAACGAGGGAGGCTACTTTTATATCTAATTTACAACCCAAACCCCCTTTGATGCCTCAGAGATGGAGTTCTGCCCTTGCGCCTTGGTCAGCCTTTCTTGTTTTCTACGTAGATTTTTTTCTCCACCACCAACCTCTCTCTCCCTGGCCATCAGAATGATTTATTTTCCTGCCATCGATGCCTGCCTACTGGCCTGGGGGAGTCTGATCACTTGGTCCATTTCAAAGGAAGCAAAAAAACGAATCGCCATCCTTAGGGTTTTGGGGAAAAAGAGGTACCTCCAGATCTCTCTCTCAGCAATCCTCCCCTCCTTCTGTCTTGGTGGATTTCTCTTAAAGTTATTATTTGGTACCTAAAAATGTTATCTCTTGAACCCTCCAGCACCGTCCAAGATGCACTCAGTCTTAAGTCTCCGAATTGGAAAAAAGACAGAATGGAGGAGAAAGAGAACATTAATAATTCCTTCTCGGGTTGTCTTCTTTCCCTGGCGGTGCTGCATCCTGCAACACAAGATGGGCACAGACATCCCCGGTGCCCAAGGAGCGGGAAGAAGCGGTGCGGAGGCAATCAAGCTGCATCTCAATCTTCCAGGCCCCAACCAGAGCGACAAGAAGGGAAAGAAAAGAGGAACAAGCACCTTATTCCTCCCTGCTGCTAACTTCCAGTGGACTTCCTGGAAATCGGAAATACTCACCGTCCCCGAGCCCTAGGGTATGAAACCCAGAATGCCAGGAGCCACACGCGCCTGCTCGGGTTGGCATTTCTTTGGCTGGCCGCCGCCCTGGCTACTGGGATTTAGACACATGGACCTGGGGCTGTTGTCTCTCTTGGCACATGCATCTATCTTTCTCCAGCCACTTCTGAGAAGTTGATGGCGCAGGAAGGTCGGGAAGCTTCGAGAATCGCCTCTCGTTTTCCGCTTCCCGCCGGAGTCAGATGCAAAGCTGCGGTGGAAGAGCCGACTAACAATGGACCGAGGCCGGGGTCCAGGGGCGCGGACTCCAAGCTTGGCATTGGGGGTGGGGTGGGGATGGAGGGCTGCGAGAAAAAGGGGGGGGAGGAAGAGAGAAGGGGGAGAGAAGGCGGAAAGAGGAAGAGGGAAAGACAGAGGGAGGAAAAGAGAGAGAGAACAAGGAAAACAGAGAGCGAGCGAGCAGTTCTGAGATACCCAGGTTTACAAAAGAGGGAACAAAACAAAACAAAATAACAGCAACAAAAGAAATATCTCTTCTTTTTCTTGGCTCTCTTTTCTTCTTTCCCTCTTTCTCCATTTCTCTCTTCCACCTCCCTCTTTCTTCTCCCTCTCTCATCTCTCCTCTCCTCTGCTTCTTCCTCTTGCTTTAACAGAACTTATGTGACTGGGATGCTGGGCCCTCAGGTGTCAAAACTTTGAAGATTAATGGATTACTTTGTTAATGACTGCAGGCGTCAGACTGAGGTGCTTAAATGATTTGTGAGGTGCGAGGCGTCTTCCCGACAGTCCCAAACAATGCGCAGAGTGTGCGGGGGAGGCAGAGGGCAGCCGCTGGCGGGACCGGCAGCAGAGCTCACACTCGCTCACACGCAGGCACTAACACACTCCCAGGCGCACACAGCAGATCCTTGCTGATCAGGAGGCAGGCAGGCACCCTCGCCCCCACGCACTCCGGGGCGTCCCTACCCACACTCACATATATGTGTTTTTGCCTTGAAAAAAGTGTAAATAAAGCCGTGCTGGCCCCCAATGAGGCGTTCCTTCTCGACTTTTTTGGATCAATCAAACAGACAGTGGCTTCTTTTGATTAAAGCCCAAATTGTCATTGGGCAGAAGCAATCATGTGACAGCCAATTCGGTCCAATTTCAACCTTGTCTCCATGAATTCAATAGTTTAATAGTAGCGCGGTCCCCATACGGCTGTAATCAGTGAATTAGAAAAAAAACACCCCAGCAGCGATCTTCTATGATAGATTTTTTTTTCCTCCGCGTTTGCCTTTTTCCTGGGCCTTGCCCCCCCAAAGCCCCTCCAGAAGAGGGAACTTTTTCTCCGAGGGGGCTCCAAGGAGAAGGCCATGAATTACGAATTTGAGCGAGAGATTGGTTTTATCAATAGCCAGCCGTCGCTCGCTGAGTGCCTGACATCTTTTCCCCCTGTCGCTGATACATTTCAAAGTTCATCAATCAAGACCTCGACGCTTTCACACTCGACACTGATTCCTCCTCCTTTTGAGCAGACCATTCCCAGCCTGAACCCGGGCAGTCACCCTCGCCACGGCGCTGGCGGCCGCCCCAAGCCGAGCCCCGCGGGCAGCCGCGGCAGCCCGGTGCCCGCCGGCGCCCTGCAGCCGCCCGAATACCCCTGGATGAAGGAGAAGAAGGCAGCCAAGAAAACCGCGCTGCCGCCCGCCTCGGCCGCCGCCGCCACCACCGGCCCTGCCTGCCTCAACCACAAAGGTCAGTCCAGAGAATTGGCCCCAAGTCCTCGGGTCCCTCTTCCCCCTCCAGACTGCCCCGAGAGCGGTTATGGGGGAGGGGAGCTAGGACTGGAAGAGAAGGGGGAGAGGGAGAGATGCTTGGCTGCCTTTCCCCT